TTTGCGTCCATGGGAACCGTCTTTCCCTCCCTATCGTCGCTACGACTCTGTGTGTACATTTGTAAATGTTCGTGAGCTAGGTTGATGAAATTTCATATATAACTATTATGCCAAATGTGTAGATCAGTATCAATTTTTGAGCGATTTCCGATAACCGGAAGTGGAACTTTTTAATACTTTTAAAATACTTATATATGAAATTTCATCAACCTAGCTGTAACGGTACTCAAGTTATCGTGTTTACACACGGACACACAGACAGACAGACACACAGACATACGGACAAGATTGCAAAATTATGTTTTTCCGTATCAGTGAGGTGTAAAACGTCGAGATTTGTTAAAATCTCGATTTTTTTTTGCACGATTACAAGACTTTCTCTATACTTCGTATATACGAGAAAGTAAAAAGAGTTAGTGGCGTTTAAAACCCGCTCTACCATTTTTGTCCAAGAGGGTGGGGCGCTTTTTCACTAACAAAAATCGCAGGATTTGTACTGGATCGGTTGCTAGATAACTCTTTTAACACTTAGAAAAGAAATCAATTGTATTAACACTTAATGTACGATTTCACTACCCAGTTTTGCTAAGTAATAACGCGACTACTTCTTTGCAGTGTTTCTTCCAGACTTTTTCCCCACGCGGTGGGGGGCACTAGAAATTTTCGGGGGGACGGTATACTTAAAAGTATATATTTTCTATTTTCTATATAAATTATATAAATTTCATTTCGTTCGGGGGGAGGGGGGGGCGGTAGAATTTTTTCGGGGTGCTTCGCCCCACCCCCCCCCCCTCCCCGAAGTGATGCCTGGAAGAAACTCTGGTTCTTTGTACGATTTTTACGATTCTCTCAACTTGATCGTGATAGACCAGATACTTTACTTGATTGCATTACATCTTGCCTGGATCATTGCATTAAAGAGAAATAAATATAACAGATTCTTGTATCGCAATCTGATCAGACTGACAGAGCGGGTGGATGCGAAGCAACACTCTTTGCCAAAATTTTAAGAGAGAAGAACATTAGTATATTGTACTGATTATTACTTTGTTCAACCTAACTGATAATTCAAAATTGCAATATTGGCCTACTAATATCGAAATTGTTCTAAAGACATGACCAAAAGTAGACCAAATAAGGCTTGCACCTTCTACAAAATACACTCTAAAGCAGTGGCTCTTAAATTTTTGGAGAACCGAACCCCACCAGTTTCATACGCGCAATCACCGAACCCTCCTTAATAGTTGTATCGTCCACAACGACAAATCCGATCGTGAATCCTATGAGTCGGGCGTGTGTCTTGACCTCCGCGGAAGCCCTGAGACTGAATTACAAAACCTCTCAGGTTCGATAAAGCCCACTATTCTAAGCTCTTTTCATTTTCTACTTTTTATTCGTTTCGGCATCTTAAGGGGAATTTGATTGGCGTCCAGTGATGTTTTAGGGAACGACAATCAGCGTAATTGTTAATTTTTTTCCAGACTGTCGCACACACAAACACACAAACACACACGCATATATATATATATATATATATATATATATATATATATATATATATATATATATGGGGGCGCCAAACTAAAAGATCACCCCGGGCGCCGGGACGGGTCGCTACGCCTCTGCGGAGAGTATGTTAAATAATTCAAAATATTTTAAACAATTTATTTCAGAGTTCCTAGGAAAGATGACAGCTAATTATTTAGGAAGCATGGGCACGGAACCTAAGCAGTCATTGTCAAATGGATTGTTTTAATGTTCCCAACCAGAAAGTAGACAGAGGGATATCTCAAATTACGTGAAAGGCTCTAAATCATAACAATTTTCTGAGGTTTGGTTTAATAATTAATTAATTAATTAATTATTCATATTAGGTTCGCGCTAGAAAGAAAGCGCCTCTCGATTCAAACTCTGATTCAGATGTAGTGAACCACGTTTTTTTTTTATTTGAAAGTTTGTTTCCCATAAACACAAGGGCGTGCTACCGCCACCCGAGCGCAACGCAGTGTGAACGCTTTGCAAGTAGAATATATACAAATATATAACCTAACCACATTTCTTAATCACACAGTTCTGAAACAGTCGCACGACTAGTGGCGTAGCTAAGGAAGGGCAGGTGGGGCCGCCCGAACGGGGCGCCAAAAGAGGCAGAAACTTAAGTTAAAAGCTTGTTTTAAGCTGAAGTATCGAATTATTCACAGTCAAAGTAACAAAAATAAACGACTAAAAGGTTTTGCACACTGATTTAACTGTAGCAATTTTGAGGCACCAAAAATGTTCAGGGACAGTATGTCGTAAGAAGCGTCACAAACCTTCCAACTGGAAAAATGGGGGAGGGGGGGGGGGGGTGGAGACAACGCTTTTACAAAGACAGAAATAACTATGTAGAAACGGGATAGTCCGCCCCGGGGGCCGGATTAGGTCGTTACGCTCTGCGCACGACGCTTATTTAAAAGCGTAAAAACAAATTGCAGTCAGCTTTTATGATCTCTTGATTCTAGGTATCGCCTTACACCTCTAGACGATGAATAGCGCCGTTAAATGTAAAGAATGATACATGATTAATGATCCTTTGAAATGTACCCATGTGACATTCACGGCCCTTCCTACTGTCATGCAATGCCGTCTTTTATTAAATCTACACGTTTGAATAACCGTATATAATGGCAATGCATTTGGCAGTAGACATATTCTACGAGCAATGTCTCTGCCGCACATTCAGCATTCTAACCCCCGCCACCCAGTCCACCTAGCCCTTCCCTCTTTACCGCGATTTCGTTCACACTTTCCAGATACATCTATCTGCGATGACAATGAAAGAATATCAATTTTCGAAATAGAATTTGACATTGGATTTACCATAAAATGTAACTAAAAGACAGTTTTGTTCAATAATTAAAAAGGAGATAAGAAGACTAAAGCTAACCGACGAAGCTGTTATTTTTCACAGCTGAGTGATTTTTCACATAAGCGTTCACAACACACTGTGAAGGGGAAGATACTTGAAAGCCACTGGAGATTTAACTTGAACTTAGATTTCGGTAATGGTAAGGTAATCTGTAAGGGCGGTAAACAGTTTGACAGTTAAATCCATTATTACCCCTGACTCACGTACTGTGCAGGATGTCTTGTGCTAAAATGACTGCTGGGGTTTGCTAGAACCAAACAGCACCCTACTGCTAGGTTACTATCTCGCTGAAATTAATTACAAAAACCTTCCTTTTTGATATTCTTATAAAGTAGGTCTTCGTTCTTTCATCAGAACATATTTGGAGATATTTAAAATGTACACAATTTGTTGGTTTTTTTGCACTGTTACTTCCATTTTTAATTTTATCAAAACGTGAGAAAAAACAATTTCATTGCAATTAATTTAAATGATGTACTTATTTTTAAGGTATGAAACAATTGAGTGTATGCTGTATATAAGTGTCTGCGTGTTGCGTTGAAAAGATTAAGTTTGTGTCAAATACTTTGTTTGTTACGAAATACCCCCCCCCCCCCTACATGGTATTTTTTAGGGTATCGAAAATAAATAAAAACCCAAATTTTAAAACGTCGTACTTTTTAACACTGGAGATATTTGAACACAATGGGTATTTATAATTTACTAGCCGTCCCGGCGGTGAAAAAAAATTTATCTGTAAAGAACCATGACGTGTGTGTTTATTAAGTAGCATATACCCGGCATTAACGTTTGACAAAATAACGCAAACCCTAAACCCAACAACAACTTTAAGCTTTAAACTTAACACTTACCACAACCAAACAAAACACAAAAACAAACACAAAAGCAATCTAAAACACAAACCACAAGCCTAATTAACAACACAATAACGAACACGAATACAAACAGGAACTGACACCGATACTGGCACCCACACCCATCCATTCCCCACACAGTCTCAAAAGCAAACAAATATATTAAGCATACGCATAAGCGTAAGCGTAAGCGTGAACGTTAACATTAACGTTAACATTAACATTAACATTAGCTTGACTATAATCTACACAACCGAAGGTAGTGACTTAATACTGCTTCGATTTTTGCTCCATTTTGACGAAATTTCAACCCGCAGCTTTATAGAAGTGTCAACATGTCTCACAGAAGGAATCACCATTCTATTATGGAGACGTCAATTTTTTTCCCAAAAATAATTGGCTTGTCTGATCCCAGTCATTTGGTTGGCTATGGCTAGAACGTTGGCCTATTTTATGTCTAATCAGTGGCGTCGCTAGGTCGGGTGTCACCCGGTGCGGCACTTTGTGGTGTATATATATATATATATATATATATATATATATATATATATATATATATATATGTATGTATGTATGTATGTGTGTTTGTGTGTGTCGTCCTACATATACGTATATCTTTAATCACTGTAGACTTAATAGTAACGATGTTTTTCTTTAGTCTGTTAATAATACAGTTGGATGTAGCATTGTTTTCTCTATAGTTAACACGTTTACGTCATGGTGTAACCCCCAACTTTTTATAATAGTTGTCGTTTTGCACATAAAAGACAATTTAACTTTAGTTAATCATTAATGAAACAGGCAGAAAGAACTTTTTCTTCTGAGCATTTTGCAATTTTTTGTCTGGGTGTCCCCCCTCCCCTAAATAATGTCACGCACCCCCGCCCCGCCCACGCTACGCCTCTGTGTCTAATCTACATCGAGAAGCTATGACTTAAATTTGCATTTGCCAGCTACATTCGCCCTAAGTGTCAAAGCACAATACAAAACGAAGGGGTGGGGGGGGGGGTTAAATTCTAAGAAAAAGACGCTTTAAATAATTATGCAAATGAACGCAAATCAAATGACATAATTTTGTTTAATGCTGATGTAATTATTGTTTTTGTTTCATTTTGGATATATGCATAATTTTTTTTTAAGTTTGCATGCATAAACGTGTTTTGATCCAAACAAAAAATACCAAGCAACCGCGTTTAAACTCCCTATATATATTGAGACACTTTTCTTAACTGGGTCTTTACACCTTTAATTTCCAACTCATATTTTGAAATATGAAAACTGAAATTACTTAAACTTTAAATTCTATCAACGATGAAGACCAGCATTAGATTGCAACTTTTGAAACGGTTTTACATACTTACGACCTGTTACGTAATTGCTGCATCGTCATCAAACAGTCCGAATGTTGAACACAAGGTTTGTTAAATAATTTAAATTATTTACTTGGTAATATTGAATGAAGTATGTTCTATTTGTTACAGCTGTTCTCGAAAAAATCAAATTCCAGCTAATTAAATGTTAATTATTCTCTAAGTATTATATGTAGGTTCGTATAGACTTTTCGTGAATAAGCTTTATGCTCGGGAAAATTTTGCTATATTTGTATTAACACATTTATTTATTTATTTTTTAAATACTGGTCTGTTGAAAAAAAAATATAAACTAGCAGCTATTAAATTTTTTTTTGTCGTCTTTCAGTAGGATATTGTAACCTATTAGCATAAATTATTGGATATTAAAATTTTACACGTGATCAATCGAAGTATTTCGAAACGATTCTTTACTCTAAATGTTCGATATTGTATACACGGAAGGCCACTTTCGAAGTGAGCAGAAACTATTAAGTAAATTTACTGTAAGTAACCAATTATTGTGAAAATCGTTTAAATATAGATCAATTGATGAAATCAGCTGTGTGTTATTGTATAAAGCCGTTTCAATGCAGGCAACTTATTCTTTACTCGGTGCTGAGAGAAGAATGTTATATATTCTTTCTGCATAATTGGACTAGGTGGTCGGGTGATAGAGCGCTCTACTGGTTGGCCGAAGGTCTCGAGTTCAGATCTCGGCCCGGACTCGAGGTGAATCGCCACCCTGATGGGTAGCCTACTTGATACTTAAGAAAAAACAAACAAAGGCAGCCCATTGACTACTGTTGTAATGAGATGGAAACTCGCATTTCAAGATAATTCAAAGCTAGCAATAAAAAGATGAAAGCAAGTGTAACACATATTATGGTTACCAGTCAGGGTGGATAATTTGTAACTTATTTTGTTGCGGGCCCTGTGGGACCACAACTGTTGATGTATTTTTTTATGCTCTTCTGTGAGCGATGTTCCCCGTGTTCCCATGTCATGTGACCTCTGGGGCTTTCAAACCCCAGACTGCTAATGAAACGGACGGTGATGTTGCTTAGGTTAACTTAGTTATGTATACATAATGAAGTTATTGTACATTATATTACTGGTTTGTATTATTACTACAAGTGCTGCATGATGCAGACTAGTTAGGTTTGAAGTACTGAAAAAAAATTCATGAAAAACGTTTTAATAACAAGCTTTTATATAATAATCCACTAAAAAGCTAAAAATAAATTATACACTACTATTTAAATAACTATAAAGAAAAGCGTGGGTCACTTTAGTATTTATTGGATACCTTTACTAATATTTAGGAAGAGATCCACGCTTTTCTTTATGGTTATTTAAATAGTAGTGTATAATTTATTTGTGTCTTTTGTTACTTTCTCGTTAACGAAGTATAGATAAAGTATTGTAATCGTGCAAAAAGTCGAAATCGAGATTTTCACAAATCAGATCTGCGCCTTTTTTTCCCTGGAAAATGTTTTTTCGTTTGTGTCTTTTTATTGCCCTCCGAATTTTTCTCCATTTAGTCAAAACTAAAATCTCTAGTGATTCTGACCCACAGCAAAAGGGCTCTCGTCAATTAACTCCTGTTATTTAACCTCCAGACAACAGGGCTGCTTCAACTCAACGCAAGACTACAAGGCTCACGAATAGTTAGAGGAGCCCAGTCGGAAGTTTTAATTAATACGTTTATAATTTCCTATTTTAAGGGCTGTGAGCTGCAACCAAAAATGAAAAAAGACTTTTGTATCGGCATGACAGCATTGCAAGAGTACCTGGATGAACTGGACTCTGTTGAATCAGAGAGGTATCCGCTTTATTAGAATACCTTCTAGTATATGAACTACTTGTACTGCTACACACGGTTACATTGCCGTTCTCTTTGTGGCTTTTGATAAGACTGATATATTATATTGTGTCTTGTTTCAAACATCCTTGTAGGTTACAATTAAAAGTACTTACGATAAAAGGCAATAATGTCAGCACTAAATGTGGATTACAACAAAAAGCATTAATTCAAATAATTTCGTGGCTTGAATTCAAACACGCTAGATTTCAAGTGATATTTGTTTTTAAAAATGATTTTTTAAAATATTTCATTCGTCGATATAATTATATTGTATATATAAAATTAAATTAAGGTTAAGCTATTCAAACACATCGGTTGCTGATCTCCCAAAGATGAAAAAGAATGGCATCACCAGTACTCAAGATGGCCACTTAAATGGCACGACAGTGTCTCACGGAACAGCCTGCATGACGGATCCAGTGTCTGGGAGCTCAGAGATGTACAAGTGCCGCAACGGACTTTGGACATCGTATAGTGAGACAACTTAAACACATTTTTTTAATCACATGAGGTTTTTAAAGAACAATTATATGACGTAGTTACTGATTGCACCGCCCATAATGATCTTATTTGATAACGTCTCAGTTTGTCATGCTTAATATTATATATATAGTATACATATAGTATATATATATAGTATATATATATATATATATATATATATATATATATATATATATATATATATATATATATATATAGCTTGTGTAGGCTACTTGCTGGTCATCCCACTAAAATACTATTTTTAAATAATAAAATAAAAAAACTATGAAAGTTTTGAAGTTTGTCTAAGCATTTACCCCGGTAACCCTTAAATATTACTGTATTAAATATTGTAATAAGTAGCCTACTAAAGCATTAACTATATATCAACAGATACCCGAGGGCTCTGGAAAGAAAACACCACCGCCCTAGTAAGGAAAGCCCGGTTCTGGAACTTTGTTTACCAAACTTCTTGTAGAACTGTATGTGACTGTGGTTGGTGGCACCGAAGTTGTCATTTACACTGCTGGAGTTTTTGTACGTCGTTATCTACTTTTTTTCATCTGAGTCTGTTGTCTTTTAATAAAATAATTATAATTGTAACTGTATAGTCTCAGTAGCATCCGATTAGGTTTAACAAGGTAAGAACAGAAAGGAACATTTAATAGAGATAACTAAAACAGCTAGATCCGTGGTTTTTATCCTGAGTTCGATCGAACCCAAAGGGTTTGACGGAAGGGAAGAATCAAACTCGAATTGTATGATTTTCGATCACATTTCGTTAGTGCGGACAATGGAACCATTAAGAATTGTTTGGGGAATTCCCAAATGAAACTGGTGAGGTTTGTACCACCACAAAGGTTAAGAAGCACTGAGCTATATTGAATCGAATGATTTAATTAATTAATTGGAAACGGTATCTTTGAAAAAAAATGGTTTGCAGTAGATTTTCCAAGCGGGACTAAGATTAAATATACTAGAAATCCGAACCTTTTATATGTCATCAAACCAATGTATTTTAAATCCAAATAATGTTTTATATTTCAACATTACGATTCGGTCTAACCCCATTAACGTTTTGAAAAGTTAGACAAAACAAGATAAATCTTTCAACAAAGCTACATGCATAGACTAATACAAAAAATTGTATTACCAATCTACAAAATTAAGAGTTGATGAAGCATATACTAATGCATAAATATGAATTTGATCTATTTTAAACTGCAAGCTTGGCGCTAGTCAATGTTACAACTATAAACTAGACATCATCACACATCGTGTCTGAATTCTCGAAATCAGGATCTCGCTATATAATCTCGTTTAGACACAAAACAGTCATTTGTGTTGCATTTTTTTGATTAATAATAATAAGCTATACGTATTATCAGATGAGGCAACATTTACCCCCCCCCCCCCCCCACCGCCTAATTACGCATTAGGGGTAATGCGAGTGAATGGTATAGCAGTCTAGATAAATCTAGTATAGTATCATATAGCCTGTCATATTTTAGCTTACCCTTAGATGTTCTGAATATAATCTATATTTGACAAGTGTTACAAATTCTGCAATTAAAAAACTGTAGAATCTAGTCAATTTCAATCGTAGAACCTAGTCAATTTCATTAACTTTTCATCTTTTTTTTAAAAATGTTATCAAATTGTACTTGTATACTGATTTGCTTGCAGGGTTTATTAATCACTACCCAACCGTATATTGTCCTGTCATCGCCGATGTATTTGTAACAGGCCTACCTACTGTAAGTTTGAGGTCGAACATAAATTCTATAACACCTTACTTGTATATAACACTCCATCATTTAGTTAGATATATGAGATATGTAGTTATGTTTAAGAGCCAACCTATTATGTAGGGCAGGTTGCGTGGTGTTTTTTTTTAGGTTTGTTGTAGGTCAGATATGTCAGTGAGTAAAGGGGGAATATACAATTGCTATTTATCTTACCCTTAGATATGGTGGAATGGTGTGGTAAAGATGACCAGTTTATGCACTAGTCTCTAGATAATATAAAATGATATCTTGTAAATGCCAAAACTAGATAAATGGACTCATTTTAAAGTTACATTGTATGGTTAAAATACTTTACATCAACACAGAGACAACACTAACACACACACAAATAAACATATATATATATAAATAAATAAATAAATAAATAAATATATATATATATATATATATATATATATATATATATATATATATATATATATATATATATATATAAGTATATATATAAGCATATATATACATATATATATATATATATATATATATATATATATATATATATATATATATATATATATATATATATATATATATATATAATGTACTTCTAAATATCTTAGTGGGTATATTGGTCTGCTGCAACTGCGTATGATAAAGAGGACGGATATTTAAGGTATATTTTATTACTATATTTATCTATATAGGACGTTGTGTATATATATATATATATATATATATATATATATATATATACATATACCAATATTTTTTTTGCATAGCGCACCGAGGTTCGGGTCACCGCCGATTGTATTTGTATAGTTTTTTAAAATATATTGATTTTGATTTCAAATAACATAAACATACAATAGATTCCTTATTAAAATGTTACACTGCCCCAGCGGGAATACAATAAGTTGATCACCCACAGAGATTTAACGCTTTTAAAGTTTGACCCTGAAGACCAAACAGAACACACTTTATTGCCTATGGCAGGTGATGGGTACCCACATTGTTGGACGTAGAGGCATACACAGTGCAGTAGGGGTGTGCCGTTTAGATACAATGACTATTACCGTGACTCTTTACGATGATCTTTACTATGACCTATACATTGGCGTAGAGGAATACAGTGACTAGATTAAGAGTTCATTGTGTAATAGGACGACTTAGCCCTAAAATAGTGTGAGCGAAATGGGTTATTCTTAAACGCATAAAATAAAAACTTATCTAAGGATTGATGTTAAAGCCTAGCAGCCTCGTAATCTAGTCAATATATGTAACTAAACTGAATAAATTCTATTTACAGGTAACGGAAAAATTGCAATATATAGTAAACAAATATTACATTTTAAAATTAAACATATTAAAAATCTAGTCCGCAACATGCGGCACTAGAAGAAATATTACCATACCTTCATTAGGGTTATATGCATTCCACAACGCCCACAATGTGAAAACATCAGGTTATTATAGCTCTGAGACCTTATCCATCCAGATTTTCATGAGGTCACATGACACGGATAAAACACTTGTTCAAAACGCACACTTGAGCGCAAACTAAAATGACCGCAATCCCATCAGTTTATAATTATTTCTCTTTGCTGGTAACCCCCATGGTATGTGTGTAAAAGAAAATTAATACATTCTAAACGGCATGTACGTAAAACACTATCTTTACACTGAGTGGAAGGGTTTAATTTACACTCTAGAATAGGCTAGAACATGTAGCAAAATGAATACGATATTTAACTCGGCGTTGGTTCTAGAAATCAGTGGCGTCGCGACACATTCCGGCGCCCGGGGTGAATTATCGAGATTCCCCCCCCCCCCACCCTCATTTATTGTTATTGAAGGTAGCGAAAAAGCGCCTCTTTTAGTCAGTATCATGTAGCAGTTTTATTATCGGGTCAAACAATCGATGAAGCAGATAGTTAAATTAGTCCATAAGGCCAAGTAGCAGTCTATTTCCTCAACTTGATTGTGAATAGTTCAGTAATGAAACTCAGAATAGGTTTTTTTTTTTAAAATCCCGTTTGGCGACCCTAAGGGGTCGGCGCCTGGGGCGGCTGTCTCAACCGCCCTCCCCTAGCTACCCCTCTCTTCAGACTAAAATAAGGTGTTAGATTAAGTAAATTAAGTAAATTTTTGTCTTCTTTTTCTTTTAAATTGCAGAACACGCCAGACATATGGACCAGGACCAGGGTCATACATTTATTCTCCAGGCACATACAGTGTCACCTATGAAGCCAAAGATCGATACGGCGCCACGGCCTATTGTACTTCCCGTTTCACCGTTTCATGTACGGCAATGCAGATTGCTAGTTACTGAAATAGAATATCTAGATCTATCTGTGTGTCTGTCTATAGCCTGCTGTGAGATTGTTTTGTTTTTTAGGGATTCTTTACTGAAATCATATAGCTTAACCTGAGATTGTATTGTCCTTAAAACTTTTAAATTATTTTTACAACTAAATTAGTAAGTAACCTATTGTCTTTTAATAACAGATTACCGATGTCTTTACTCTGACTCTTACGGCCTGACTGTCTACACAATCCCGAATGGATATGTTACTTGTGCCAACTATCGTTTATATAGAATTTTCTTTTACTTGTATGGAGAATCCTGCACGTATGGTTGCTATTCTGGTTATGTGCTACAAGGTCCAAGTACTATTACATGTAATGCTTTTGGGTATTGGAATGGCCAAAGACCAACTTGTGTGCGTAAGTAAATATGTCTATATTGGTACGACCTAAGGCGTCCTAAGGCCACATTTTGTACATACGAAATACTTTTATAAGCATAATATGCTTGTAACAGTGGCGTAGCCAGGTCGGGTGTCACCCGGTGCGGCACTTAATGGTGTCACCCCCCCCAGAAGCGTAGCGACCCTTCCCGGGACAAACTTTCAAACTTTTGATTTACACCCCCCCTCAAACTTTTGATTTGCACCCCCCCCTCAAGTTTTTCTCTATATATTTTGCTATTTTTTGCCTTGGTGTCACCCCCCTAAATGGTGTCACCCGGTGCGGTCAGCACCCCTCCCCTCGCTACGCCTCTGGCTTGTAATGTATAGCTACAAGGCATCGTGGTGGATGACCAAAAGAGAGGGAGGGTTTGCCTAAAAATATAACGAACAATTTATTTTTAGCATAGGCAGAATTAGAGAAAAATATCACAAATCACCAATAATGTTCGGGTCTCTACATATAGATCAATATAGCCCTTAAAATCTTTAGGCCTATACGTTAGTATAAATATAATGATATGTTGGCTCTATGTATGTTAATATGATGCTAGCAGAGCGCCTGCGCTGCGCTGCAAGTGGGTGGCGGTAGCACGTCCCTTGTGTATGCGTCGCAGTGGCACATGCTATTTGTATTTTTTAAATTGGGAAACAAACTTTTAAAACAAAACCCTTGATTCCCTTAATCAGAATCAGAGTAATAATAATTATGAGGCGGTTTCTTTCTTTCGCGAACCTCATATGAATAATAAATAAATAAATAATTTAAGATTTCGCACTGTCCACTTTCTAGGTGAGAACATTAAAACACATACAAATTCCAAATTACTGCTTAAGTTCGTACCCAAGCCACCTATGTGATTAGCCAACGCGATAGAGATTTTATAGAAACTATTGTAAAAGACATGGAGTTTACAAGCTATTCTTGATGTCTAATTGTTCTATTTAAATTATAGCTCGACCTGTCTGCCAATCGCCGGCGACTATTTCAAATGGACTGTGGTCAGCATACAGTTTAGCTGCTGGTTCTGTGGCATATCTTTACTGTAAGGACGGTTACACAGTTAACGGTCCTAGCTACGTCACTTGCTTATCCAATGGAATATGGTCTATGGCTGGTTCATGCAAGGGTGAGTGACTTATTGTGTGGCCCTATGGATTCACTATGGACATTTTGCATATGTTACGAAAATAAAATGACCATTGTTGAATAATTGTGGATATACATTTAATGGCATTAAACGGATCGGACTTCTAGGCCTAAAGTCTATTAGTATTAGCTATAGTAAGGTTATATATATAACATATGCCTATCACTTTATAATCATGTTTCTTTAGCCTTTTATTTCATTAGGAATAGGATTATAGAACATAAGAGTTCATTAGAGTGATAATAGTCTTAACGTGTCTCCGTATAGGAATGTGTTTTCAAAAATAGTTATAGGTCTTAAACTAGGTTTAAATAAATGTAAGAGTGTGTATTGTAGGCATTGGGTTTAAGACCATCAGTTTGAGCAGAGTAGAGGACACCTAACAATATAAATAATGACTTGAAAATTGTGTTATTTGTTTACATACATATGCATTTTAGTTAGGTATAGTGTTAGTTACATTTAATTCTTTAAAAAAAACAACAATTTAGTAATGATATATTAGTTAATGTATCCAAGTATACAGTGCCGGCGCCAGGTTATTTAGCGCCCTTGGCAAAACTTATTAAAAGTGTCCCACCCCCGCAGTTTTTTTCGTGCCCCCGGGGACAAACTTTCGATTTGGTTTTTTTTTCCAACCCATTTACGGCCAGCGCCCTAGGCGACCACCAAGTTCGCCTTATAGGTAGCGCCTGCCCTGCTAGTATATAAATTCCTACAAATCATAAGAGTCTAACCATATTAAAACCACAAGACTATCATTACGTACTTCTATAAAGTGCCTGTATGATGTTTGAAGTAACAAACCTTTAATTTTGTTTACATATTTCAGATATCCAGCCTCCTGTACTGAAGTGCCCATCAACCATTACCGCCGTCTCCAAGCCTAAGAAACAGCCTGTTTCTGTGACATGGGGCAGTTGGTCAGTCTCGGACAACTCCAACGAGTTTGTTACAGTCTCCAGCAGTGCTGTCTCAGGGCAGCTGTTTCCGGTTGGGCAGACGGTAGTGTCTGTGCAAGCCACTGATAAAAGTGGCAATCATGCCACATGTTCTTTTTTGGTCAATGTTACATGTAAGTTACTACACAATTTCTGTAACTAAGAAATGATTAACAGAATGCTATAGCTTTTACTTTTAGTGAGGAGTGGGCAAGCATCTTTTTGACAGTTTCAGGCTGGTAACCTAAAATAATTCTTTTTAAAGGTAGACATAATTCGTTTATACCTGTGAAATTAACTAAAAATTTACAAATTTTTGTATTTATTTAGTTTACATTTTAAGGCATTTCTTCATTCTGGACTATTTTTTTCTATCCCTTCCCTGGTCATTACTAAAACCTTTGGCCAAATGTTAAACTTAAATATAGGGCTAATAAGTAGGTCACCAACCAGTTCTATGGCTCATACAGGTTTTATTGAGCCGTAGAACTGGTTGGTGACCTACTTACCAGTCCTATAACCCTAACAGTAAGTCATATACTTGCCTAGAAAAACATCGCAATAAATGCATTTTATTGGAGCATGTATACTTACTGCAAATTTGTTTTTCTAGACATATATAATGTAACATTATATGTCACAAGTGTTAACAGGGTGTAACAGAAAACTTTATCTAATGTTTAAACATAAATACATTTTCACCAGCTAATTTTGTAAAACATAAATATATGATATAATGTAAGGTAATAAAAAACTACCTATATGATTTTATTTTCAGTCAACACATGTCCAGCCATCAGCGTACCCGACCAGGCCAAGGTCAACTGTAGCCATGACAACGCTGTAGGGTCAGATTGTGTGTTCTCATGCACTGAAGGTTTCCAGTTGACTGGGGCGACGGTTCAAAGCTGTCTTGAGACAGGGAAATGGGAGAACAAGACAACAACCTGTCAAAGTAAATTTTTTAAAAAGTAATCCACTAGTAGGGAATTTGAGAGAATTTTCAAAATGATATACCTAGGTTAAAAAACATATCATCTTAAAGAACTACATCATAATAAGACAAAACAGTTTACTTTTTCAAAATTGGACATTCCGTTTTAAAGTTATGATTTTTTTACTGAATTAAAAGTTACTATAGGATTTGGTGGTAAATTTCGCGGGCAAATTTTGTGTATTCTTCATATATAATAAATCAATGCCAAATCTTTATTACATGGAAATTTGTATTCTAATCTTCATTTTCAAAAAACAAAGTTAAGTACAGCAGACTATATGTAATAATAAGTCTAATAAAATATATATTTTAGGAATTATAGTTTATAGGCTAATAATGGGCAAAATATTTTATTTTTAATAGGCCTATCAATAAAATTTTCCTAAGCTTATTTACTTTTCTACAATGAAAAAATATAACATCAATATAGTGAAGAGTAAAGGTTATCTTGAAAGAGGCAAAACAAGACATCCCAGACTATTAGAATTTGTCAAGATCAACCTAATTTCAATGAGGGCCATTCACAATTTTCTAAGAAAATGGATTTCTAATAATTTGATGTAGCTTAAACTTTGTATTTCCTAACAATAAGTATTAAAATTATTTTTGCTAATTGGTTTTAACAGTGATTATCTGATGACAGCGGGTACCTTGGTGGAAATTTGCAGTGTGTGATGTCATCATGAACTGTCCTATAAATTATAGTTCATCATATTGCTAAGAAATCAATACTAGGTTTTGTAATATTCCTAACCTTTGCATAATTTAAAAAGTGTGTTTTAACAATTTTTAAAGGAGCTTTGTGTAGCAAGCCCCCAGCTGTAGTGAATGGTGAGGTCAATTGTCCAAACAACACCTACACATTTGGGGTCATTTGTCCAGTAACTTGCTATAAAGGGTACCAGATTCAGGGTAGCACATCTGTTGTGTGTCTGTCAAATACAACATGGAGTTCACATGGCGTATGTCAAGGTATATTAATGTATTCAAGAATATAATTTGATTACAGAATAAACTTGTAAAGAAAAATATATATGCAGCAAAAATAATTATTAGAATAAGCCCTATAGTGAAAAATCTATAATTAAGTGTCAATATAGTTATTGGTTTTGTTATATTATAGGTAATAAGAACTAAAAAATCTTTTTAATTTCATAAAAAATTAAATTTATTTATGAAGTCTGATATTGTCTATTAAAAAAATATATATATTAATAAAACAGTATATCTCAAAACAGAAAACCTTATATTAAAACATAATTTAAAAAATAGGGCATTTTCTTTTCATTCAATTACAGATACTGAACCTCCGACCATTGTGAGTTGTACCAACGTATCGGTATATGCTGAACAGTTAGGGTACTCAACATATGTGTCTTTTACGGGGCAGGTTAAAGCAACTGATACCACAAATACAACAATTGATGTTAGTTACCTCCCTGCTTCAAATACAGCCTTCAGTATAGGCACGACACATGTCAAGGCTACAGTATCTGACCTTGCAGGAAATAAAGCATACTGTAATTTTACAGTAACTGTTGGAGGTAAGTCAGCTATTGAAAACATTAAATATATCTCTCCCCCATTTTAATTTAACTATATCTACTCCATTAGTGTTTATAAATACATACCCTATGTTGCCAGCATTTGCAGATTATATATATATATATATATATATATATATATATATATATATATATATATATATATATATATATATATATATATATATAAAGTAAGTTATCCTATCTAATATATGATGTATTGCAGCTATACTATGCCAGAATCCAGCTTTCATTGGTCTGGAAGAAAATGGGACATCTTTAATGGTCTTCAACTGCCCCCAAGGTTATGTGTATGGTGCCACATGCAACATAACATGCAGCAATGGCAATGCTGTAGTTGGAAGCCCAGGCATTTTTTGCAGGAAAAATGAAACTTTACCTGGCACAGGCTACTGGGACTATGGAAATGCTAAACCTGTTTGCGATTGTATGCATTCAAAACATCTTATAGTTCACTATGTATTTTAGCTTATTTTAGTCAAGACGAATTAATTGTCATAAAATATCCACCACTGTTTTGATCTGAATGTTTCGTTTTAATTTTGTGTGTATATAACACATTTTAAAAAATGTCTATAGAATTTTAACAGTAAATTAGCTAGTTTTTTTTTTTTTTTTTTTTGTAAAACTGTTTAAAAAACAAGTTATAATATGAATTATGAAATATCTTTATTCCAGCAAAATTCTGCAGCAAGCAAGAAGCTCCAACCTTTGGAGCTGTGGCTTGTGATGTGATCAACCAACAGGAAGTGTGTACTGTACTATGTAAAAAGAACTACACGCTTACTGCCGGCTCGCCTCAAAATGGTGTTTACGTCTGCTGGAGAAAAACTGGGGAGTGGCTTCCAAGTATTATTTTAAGAAGTACATGCATTGGTAAGTTCAATCCGCCTTTATAAAAAAATCCATAATTGTAAGTCAAAACTAAAAAAACGTATATGTACGCATTATTCAGAATTGAAAGCAGATTTTAACACACCCATCAACTTCTATAAACAATGAAAATTTAAAAAATCAATTCTTGTAATAGTATGAGTAGATCTAGAGCTAACCATTTGTTATGCAAACTTACTACCATACATGTCGAGCATAAATAATACTCGCAAATTATTCTCACATCATCTTAACTTCAAATGTCACTTAATCTTGGATAATCATTTTTTTAAACAAATTTTTTTTACAGTGTCCTCAACTCCTTCCATAGAGACCAAACCAAATATCCAATATTATTCAAACAGCTGTCCCACATCAACAGAAGAAATCAGGACAAAGTTTTTCACCTTGATTCAAGGGTCGGATTTGTTTAGAGATGTGTGTACAACAGTAACCTGTAACGTAACTGATGTCACAGTGACCTGCGGCTCAAGGAGTAGGCGGTCTGTTGATGACCAAATGCTATACACATCATCCAGTAATACTTCAGCCTTAAACAGGGAGATAAGAGACACCAGCACTGCTACTCACATAACCAAGGTTAGATGTTTAAAATGTTATTTATGTGATCACTGGTGAGGATGTCTACAGAATTTGACGTCAAATAAATTCTGTCTGTTTACAGATGATTTAGAACATTATTTTTTTTTTGTTTTTTGTTGGGATCGGGGAAAAATAAACTAAAATAAATTAATGTCATTTATTGATGAACTCCTGAGAGATTTGTTAGTGTAGTACAATCTGATTTTTTATGCATTTATAAAATTTTTTTTTTACTGATATTTGATTCCATCTCACAACATTCTCATATGAACACAGGGTTATCTGCTTGCTTTTCTTTAGGTTCTACTTTTTGTTTCTAATTTCTTTGGTGTTAATTTAAAGCTTTCTCAGTAATATATGTATTTCTTAATAAATAGTTTCTGTTCTAAATCACATATTTTTTTTTATAATTTAGGTAATGTTTGTTATGAGAATTTCATATCAAGATCAAGGTAGTGCAACAGAGACATTATCTTTCTATGATAACTTGATTTATGATTTGAATGTGATTCTCGACACAATGACATCTGATGGATCACTTAGTATCCCTGAAGCTGGAGAAACTGATGCCTATTCATATGGGTTTGGGAATTTAAACTTTGTCTGCCCAGAAAACACAATTTTTTTTCGTCAGACTGCTCTCTGTGGTGAGTCCATAGAGTGAACATAAAAACAATAAACCAGTTTTTCATTTTTAAATATGTAAAACAAAACTTGAAATAACAATGTGTTTTAAAGTTTAAATATTTAAAAAAAAAAAGAGTGTAAGCCCTACACAGAATTCGTACACCCATTTCCTGTTTACCTTAGAACTTATAAGAAAATCAATTATTTGCAGAGAAGTATAAAATAATATGTCTGACATAAAGTGAGCAGTTTTACTATTGTTATTTTCTTTTTGATACTAAAAAACATTTCTCTTTTAATAAAAATAATGATACACAAATTGTTGTCATAGTTATTAATTTTGTTACCGATTTAAACAGAAAACTATTTTGGTTTAACACTAAGCATTAAATTAAATATTTGTCTACAGCCGGGTGTGGTAAAGGTAGCATATACAACAAAACAACCAACACCTGCTCTGCTTGTCCTGCTGGTACCTACCAGCCTAATGATACAGCATCAGAATGTCTCTATTGTCTGGAAGGATTTACAACAACCAAAACTAATTCAATATCAGCGAGTGATTGCCTGGGTATGCATTCTTTGCTTGTCATATTTATTTTTAAACTAGCAATATATTCCAGATATTGCCTGGCATGTAGAAAGCATATAAAAATTTCATTGAAATGTCTATGTGAATATGAATTTATTTAAAATAGGCTGAGGCTATATGTTGTTCACTATTAATAGCCTGCAGAGCTAAGCATTTTTTTCTGTGACTCTGTAATCCCACTATTTGTGCAAACTATAGTGTTATGTAATGTAGGTATCTAGCCCTGGCCTCATCCCTAACCCTAACCTTAATGCCTAACCATGATGCCTAGCCCTAAATCTAATGTCTAAACCTAATGCCTAACCACAACCTGAATGCCTAACCACAACCTGAGTGCCTAACCCTATGGTTAGTTTGAACCTAGTTTACACTACTTTTTTAAAAATGTTATTATTGCTGATTTGCTATTTATTAAAACTATGTGATCAAATATCAATCTAGATTTAACCAGAGATGTTGCTAGGTGGGGGGAAGGGAGGGAGGGGGTGTGCATGTGACAAAGTTTATCATTTGACAAGCATTAATTGTAAACACTTATAAACTATCATCCAAGGGGGTGGGGTAGGGTCAACACCAACTGCAACTATATATATATACATTTAGATATATTATATATATATATATATATATATATATATATATATATATATATATATATATATCATGTTTGTATAAAGCTACATATTTAACTTATTATGTTATACATCTCATTCTAAAAAACTTCTACAGGTTATTGTGATGCAGGCACGTACTCGATGACTGGGATAAAACCATGTGAAGTCTGTACAAGAGGTACATATCAACCTCTTGTGGGCAGGAAAGGGTGTGACCCTTGCCCTTTTGGCATGTCCACCCTTAGCTCTGGATCAACTTTGAAGGCTGATTGCAAATGTAAGAAACAGTTTGTGGAAGGTTTTTTAAATATTGCTATTTTTATTAATTAGGCCTATATTATTGTCTTAACACTGATAATTTGTTTTTTAAAATCACTTCTTTTTGAGCGATTAGTATTAGTTACTGTTATATTTTTATACTTTTAATCAAATATATTAAAAAGTCATAAAAAGAAAAATACATATTTTCAAACCAAATTTAAATGATAATTTATTTATTCAAAGTGTCTATTTATACATTAACATATATAACACAAGTGTAAAATTGCAAATATCATGAGCATTGAAACATTTAAATGCTTAATTAAACTTAAAAAAAAATTAAAATTGTTTGATAAATTAAAAATAGTATCATTTTATTGAACACTATTTCTATGCGCAGAGAAGCTTTTAATAATTTTATTATCACTAAACATTAAAGAAAAATAAAAGTAATATTTACAATTAAAATTTTTAGCGCAATTTCCATTCTGGAGAATTGCGTTTATTAACCCGTCATTTCTGGATGTATGAATGGATGGATGGATGTGTGTCCGCAGCTTTAAGTCGTATCTCCTCCTCAACGAAGCAATATCGAGGACTAGTTCCAAAGCAATTATGTTAAGCAAGTTACGAGGATGAACATAGGCCAAAAAAATTCCGGGTTTCTTTCATGGATTTCCCGGAAAAGCCAAAAAACCTAAAAAAAATGCAGTTTTTGGCCCATATCTCGGCAACCAGACCACTTAGCGACTTGAAACATGTACCAATCGATTCCTGCCATAATTTAGAACAATATTGCCGAAGAAAGTTTTCAAAAATATCCTTTCGTTCGGTCACAAAAATTTTTTTGAATTAATTAAAATTTGGACCGAATTAGTAGGCATTTTTATCCAACCACACCACATGCGTCATCACGTTCAATAGCTGCGCCATCACGTTCAATTGCTGCGACATCACGTTCGGTAGCTAGGCGCGCAATGGTTTTTAGTCATGTAACTCTATTGTAAATAAAACATGTAAAATACTGAAAAAAAATTTTAATAAAAAACATTTTAATAACTAACCAATGGTTTTACTAACCCTGCTCTTGATTTACGCTACGACAGAGCTATTTTTAGATAACATAAGGAAATTGCGCTTAAATGTCACTAGACTTTTTAATTAACTTGTTTATATAAGAGTATTTCACAACACAATTATTAATAAAGCTAAAATTAAAGCATGGGTTTTCTCACAAAATCTTTGCTAAAGCATTTAAATTGATTACAATAATAAATTTTATTATCATCCACTAAAATAATATTTTAATTCACCCACAGTTTATTAATATTTATAAATTTATTATTGACTTAAATATGTACTCATCAATAAATGTGTAGATAAAAATTATAATTTTCAAATGAACAGTTTATAGCATTTTGCTGGGAAACACAACTCAGGAGGTTAGGTTTGACAATGCCAATGGGCCAATAAAGAACTTTACCATGGTGTTTTGGGCTTATATACCACAAGACCTTATTGGCAACACCACTTCAACCTTTACATTAGCGTCAAACGTGGGAGGTGCTATGATAGGATGCAAAGATTTTCTGGTTTCAATTACATCAGAAGAACTTCCATTGAAACGAACAAAAAAGTAAGTTGCTAACAAATATTGTTGATTAATGCCGAATAAAAACAAATAATTAGTGGGGGATACATAGATTTATTTCTGGAACTTTGAATTATTTAATTTTTTTTTATTTGGGCTATGCTGTACACCCTGGCATACACTTAATAATAAATGCCCTAATTAGACATAACCAAAAGACTTATTGTACACTAGCACTGTTAACTTAGAATGATTGTTACAATAAATATATTTTGACTAAAAACTTTACTAAAAATAAAACCTTGAAGATAACCACGTATTACCCACATAGTAGCTAAATTTTAAAAAAATCTAACAAAAACCTACACACCCAGATCCTGGTACCATCTAGCTGTCACCCACTCTATCAGCAACACATCTCTGTATGTTGATGGTAAGCTTATTGAGCAGAAGACTACAGCTGGTCTCGTCAATTGCACAGACTTTAAACTTTTCTACACACATTCTGCTAGGATTCCTGGTTAGTAGTTCTATCAACAGTGATAAATGTTTCTTTTTCTGTGTTTAAATAGTTTCCTTTCTTATACTCTAAAATGTAGTTTAACCTATTTTATTTACATTTTTTAAATAAAATTCAGTGAGTTACTTTTAAATCGCTTAAAGTAAATAGCTTTTTTGATTTAATAGTTTAGTATCAATACTAGACACTTTTTAAGTAAGTTTATTTATGCTTCTGAGACCACCACTTTGTTAATTTTAAGAAAATTAGGTCATTTGATGCACATGCATTCTTTTTTGTATGAGAAAATTAATAGATTATCAGTTTTTGTTGATGTTGCCTTTAAAAGTAAAAAAGTTCCCTTTTCAAACCTGACGGTCTATAGGGCAAGTGAAGTAGAGTTTACATTTTCTGTGACCTTGACATATGAAGAGATAGTGTGGTCAGCACTAAGCCCAGCCGCCTATACTTTCCCTAACGTGAGTTAGGTAACTATCAGAGTTGGTTGGACTCAGGGACTTGAACCCAGATTCGAACTCAAGACTTATGGGTTAGCAGTCCAACTCTCTACCCCTAGACCACTCCGTCCCACGATGTTGCCTTTACCTACTTTTTAATTGATCCTTTTATGATTATAGCACCGAGTTTTTTAACTACAAACAATAAAATTTAAAAAAAAAATGCTCTCTGGCCATTTTTATAACAAATTAAATTCTGTAGAACAATTGTTTTGTATATAAATGTAGGCAATGTTAATTGCATGGTTGAGTGATAAGGTGCTCAACTGCTAGACCAAAGGTCTTGAGATCAGATCTCTGTAGGAATATAGAGGAGTGTCAAATCATATTGAAGCTGATTTATAATGTTTTAAATAACTAAACTGAATTTTACAACACTTTGTATTGTTTTATTTTTAATTGAACTATTTGAAATTTTGTTTCAGAACTGACTGTAAGTGGCTTGCAGTTATCAAGAACAGAGTTGCCACAAAATAGTGTAAATTCTTTTGCACACTCTTGTGGATTAGTTATGGATGAAAACATTTTCCTGGCTTCAGAAAATACAGCACCTCTGTTGACACCTTCCTTTTGTGATGGTAAATATTTTTATAACATTAAATTGATGTTTAGCTACTTTCTATAACAGAGAGCAGATAATAAAAATATATTTGGTTGAACTTTCCAGATAACGACATCTGTCTTACCAAACCCTGTGGAGAGCATGGCGTTTGCCTTGATTTACTTGAAGGCTTTCAATGTATCTGTGATGAACTTTGGTCTGGAAATAGTTGCCAGGTAATGCAGATCAATTAACAAAAAAATCTGGAGTGATTGCCTATAAACCTTCTCAATTATTTTTATATAACACCAAGAACTGGAAAGGCTCTTCCCATGCTATTGGTCAATAAAAATATGGAAGTTGGTGACAAAATTGCTTGTTTTTCGAGAAAAAAAAGAGGCGAATGGTTCTTAGAATATACTATTTTTATTACCTATTTTATAAAATCATCAATAATTTTTTTTAGAAATAAAAATAGCATAAAAAACTTTTTCCACTCACCACAAAGCACTAAAATTTTGCAAGAACTCAAAGAATAAAATCTTGTACTTACCTATGAAATTTCATCCACCTAGCTAAAGTTGCACTCAAATTTGGTATTTTAAAAACCAGAAATAAAGTAAAGTACCAATTTCAGGTATCAGAGGTCATTCAAAAAATAGAAAGCAATCCAAGTAAAAGATCTTATAGTAAACTTATATATGAAATTTCATAAACAGTTCCCATAGATATTAAGTACCCCTACCACTTACCAGAAAGTTAAAAATTAATAGAAATTTGTGAATTTAATACTTGTGTGTGAAACTATGTCCTCCTAAATTAAACAGTATTCAAGTTATCAGTTTTGAGAAATCAAAAATATAGTAAACACCACTTCTGGCTACCTGAATGAGCTCATAAGTTGATAGAAAACTACAAATTTCATATAATATGCCAACTTATAAATGAAATTTTGTAACATAACTGAAAGGATACTCAAGTTATTGCATTTACAGACACAATTACAGACATACCCACAGACAACAGACACAATTGCAAAAATTAGTTTTTCCAGCTCTTGGAGATGTAAAATGTCAAGATTTGTCAAAATCTCAAATTAGATTTTCCGTTTGATTATAATACTTCCTCTTTAGGCCTACTCTAAATACAAGGAAGTAAAAAAATCCCCTTGTGTATAGTCAAAATGTTAAATTGTCAATTGAGAAAAACCAACCCTTGTTAGATATTTATACAGGTTCATAATTATTTCCAATAATATAGGCCACTATTGTTTGGTATTATTTTGTAAAATTTGCAACTAAATTGATAAGATAATAATAAATGGTACTTGTTTGTTGTACATAATTCTAATTTATTTGTCAATATTTGTCAACAGAAGATTAGGTACAAATTACATCATAAGTGGGCTGTATGAAATCTTTTATGTATTCTACTGAAACATTTTTACATTTATATCCCTTTGTACTAAACTAATTTCCATCAATATTTACAAAATAAATACAATTTTTAGAAAAATGTGCAAACAAAATATAACTTGAATAAGATGACTGACAAAGCAGCCATGTCTCCATGGTTTACCATGTAGTTGAATGTATCAAAATGTAGTAGACAAAGCATGTTTATATATCCAACTAAAAAACCCCCACAGCAATTTAAGCATCACTATACAATGGAATAGTGGTTTATGATGCGAGCCATTTAATGCAAATACCATTTTAAGAAAACAGATTTCTAGGCTACAGATTTACATTAATAATCAAATTTGGTTTCAAATTAAAAGAAAACAATATAGTTTTTAATTATGTCCTTTTTTTTTGTAAACAATACTGAAATTTAAAATCCCATGCAACACATTTACTAAACCTAAATAAGATATGTTTTATTTCTGTTTTATGTGTTGATTAGGTAGCACCAGATTTTTGTGTTGGTAATCTGTGCCGTAATGTAACAGAATGTGTGAGTCAATTGCTGAGTAAAAACTATACATGTAACTGTCACGAAGGTTATAAGGGACTCTTCTGTACTGAAAAAATAAGTAAGCCATTATTGTAAGTTTTATAAAATGTAATTCTTTATGTGATGTCAGTTGCTACATTTAATATGATTTTCATTTAGTTGTCTTGTGAATGTGTGTACAATAATAATTTCGGCTAAAATGTTAGTGACTTATGAAAAATAAATACCTGCTAACTAAACGTAGAAATATATATTAGTATTTTAAGCTGAATGTTAATGGAGAAGCTGACACTTCTAAAATGTTTTTTTGAAAATGAAACCCTTACATTGGTCTTATTTAAACATTTTTCACCTTAAAAATATTAGAGGTAAACAAAATTGTATTAATTTTTAGTCAAATAATTGCTTGGATGTACATATAATTTTTATTATCTTGTTTACTAAAGTAATACAAATTTTGGATGGGCAACTACATATAAGCATAGAGTAACAACAAGTAAATCAACTATAATTTCTCAAAATAATATTGATAATATTCTGTTTTTTAATCAATTAAGCAATATGTTCATCCATTTTCCTATTTAGGTTGTTTGAACATTTTTTTAGCCATCTTAATCTATGAGTAGGTCTTATTGCTATGAAACTGTTTAAATTTTCTTTTCATATGATAATTCTGCTTCACTATTATTTGATTTACACATAGTTAATATAACATTGATTGTCTGTCTGATCTTTTTATGGTGGGTAATTTATAGTGCCGTTTTAAATAATGTATATGTAATTACTATTTTTAAGTTAAATACATTTTTGTTTTGATTTATTCACACTGGTGTCAGGACTTTAAAAAAAATGACTTATCTCTATTATAACGTTGTTTAGTAAATGGTGGCTGGAGCAACTGGACAGATTGGAGTGTTTGTCCAGTGACCTGCGATGGAGGGGTTATATCAAGGTACCGCACCTGCAACAACCCAACACCTGATCCTAGTGGTGTGCCATGCAGTGGTAATGCTAATGAAACTAAACCTTGCAATGTGGATCCCTGTGCAGGTAATTTTAAAATTAGTTGGCTATAAATAATTATGACTTGGATAATATTTGTATGAGGCAGAGGTGACCACCTCAGGCAGAGGCATAGTGAACCTTCCAGGCGCATGGGGACAAACTTTCAATTTGGCGCCCCCCTCAGGAGCAAATTTTCGATTTGCAACCTCCCCCCCTCAAACTGTTTATAAGGCAAAAATGCAGCTAAATGACATTTTAATTTGCTTAGGCGCCCCATAAGGTTGGTGCCCGGGGACATATTTACCCCCCCCCCCCTCCCATCGCTACGCCTCTGACCCCAGGCACTGACTCTAAGGAAGTGCCAGAAGAGGTAGAAGACAAGGTTAAAACATCATATTGAGCTGAATTACTAAATCAAACTAATAAAATAATAAAAATAATAACTTAGTCAAAATTAAGAAAATAAACTGCGACATGACTTCATAGACTTTTTAACTTTTCTACATTTATTGTGTAACAGAAAGATAAATAAGTACAGATAAGGGACAGCATTAATAGATAAAAAGTGCCTTATTGCTATTCCAAATTGTGTGGTTGTGTAGGGGGGGGGGGTGAATCACATTTTCATATAATTTGTCTACAGGAATATTTTAATTCTCAGTCGAGAATATTTTAACTCTTAGAAAAGAAACCAAGTGAACTAGTATAAATCTTGAATACTTATAATACATTTCTCAATCCTTTTTACTATGTTGAAAAATAACATGCCTAGTAAATAGAAGTTAGATATTTATAGGTTACAGATTAAACACTGCTTGTTGCTTTAGATATTTTCTGCATTATTTTACAGAGAAATAAATACAATACAGTATGAAGTAGTTACCATATTATTGGTGGGGAAAGGGGTGAGAATTAGAGGGATTGTTTCACCAAATTTTTATGAATCAAGAAATAATATCTATTTTATTGATGTAATAACAATACAGATACAACTTGTTTTACCAATTTTATGTCAATAAATTAGTTTTAAATATTGCCAAAAGTTTAAGAAAGATTTTTGAAGAACTGTGTCATTTTACAATTACATTTTTTTTTGTAAAAAATCTTTAATAGCTTACAAAACTATTAAAGGATAATATTGGTATTGAGTACTTAAAATATAAGGAGCTACCAATTCAACACTTCTCATGTTAGAAATCTTGTTTGGAGTCTGTCTCAAAGGGATAGACAATAGGTGAACAAGAGTCATTACTTCAGTTTTTCTGTGTGGACATCATTTAAAAAGTTAACCTTAAATTCTCAATGTTTTGTTTCACCATGATTAGTCAATGGGGGATTCAGTTTGTGGAGTGAATGGGTGTGTGATGTACAGTGTGGAGAAGGTAATGCCTCTAGATCTCGTAGCTGCAACAATCCTGCTCCATTGTATGGTGGACTCAATTGTTCTGGAGAACTTAATGAAACAAAAAGCTGTGACAACCTAACAGCTTGTCCAAGTAAATAGAACTAATTTAATTTATAATAAGGTGGTGACAAACAAATAGATTTAAAATTCTTAATTTAAAGTACATCAAAGAAATGATAGTCTTACACTTTTTCAAAATTAATATTACTCTAAATTAAAAAAAAACTCTTTGTATTTGTAAATTAAATACTTAGTAATATCTAAACATAATTGAACCTGTTTTTTTAGTATCATAAACTATTTAGATACATTTTATTCATATTGTGATAAGGAAAATTATAATTTAATTCTATACTAGTCAATGGAGGATTTGGACCGTGGTCAGATTGGTCAACTTGCTCTAAGACATGTGGTTCAGGTGTTACGACAAGGTACAGAAATTGTGACTCACCAAAGCCACAATATGGTGGTAAAAATTGCAGTGTGACAGGTTTCACTGAGAGTGCTCAGTGTAATAATAATACATGCCCAGGTAAGCTATCAATGAGTTATTAATTACATGTAGTAAAAATAGAATATTTAATATATTTAATCTTTAGTAGTGAGGCCTTTGTATTAAAGGGTTTCTTCCCGTCACTTTTCTTAATGGGGAAAAAGGGGGGGGGGGGTTCACTTCACTTGAAACTTCTGGGTACTTGGACACTTGTTAAAGTTAAGGACTGGATATAAATACTATATTTTTTCTATAAAATATGTGGGTGATAGTGGTGGAAATGTTCCTAGGGAGTGAGGCACTAGAGAAATGCTTAAAAGAAATCCAGCCTTTATGGTGATTTGTCTTTTTTTTTTTGACTTTAAATGAAGCCCATCACCAACTTCAAAATAGCACAGTATTATTATGTGAGATAAAAGTTACAACAAAAGTTACAAATAAATACTCCTAAACAACTTAGTAGATAGAAATTGAAAATCTTATCCTGTTTTTAACTGTTAGTTTTGTTTTGTTCTTTCACAGTCTGCTTAAAGCTGTACAGGCAGACACACATGCAGGATATTCAATGCAAAACAAATACAACAACAGATATGACGGAGTGTAATATTGTATGTATATCTGGTTACATCACTGACTTATCCATTGTGTACAAGTGTGGCCGGCTTTCTAACTATACATGGTCACATGTCACACCTGAGAACCCCAGAGGTCTCCTGCCAGATTGCACAGGTAATTAAATGGTGATGATTTGATATGTAAGCTTTGATAATCAATTTACCAGAACAGTGAAAATTTAAAAATAGATTGAGTTTGCAATGTTTGTTGTTTGAAAATCAACATGCTCTATAAATAATACTAAAACTATAGACTAAATATTTAAAAGGGAATTTCAATTTCACATAACATGAAAGAAAACTAAAGCATAAAATAAAGCTTGTGTCAAGAAAGAAAAGCTAGGAAGTGTCAAACAAATTCATGCAAATAAAACATTGTGGCTTTTAAATAGTCTCTTTATACTTAAATATTTTTAAATTTGCAAATATGACTATCAAACAGTGATTTAAGGACTGTATATTTACCTAATGATGTGTGTATGAAACAATATGCTATTTTTAGTTTAAATTATTTAAATATATAAAAGCACCTACTCATGTTCTGCAATTTTTCAAGAAATTCACATCTAATATTTAAGCTGCGGTTTCTGTGACTGAACGGAGCATAAGTCAACAGGCTGAAATTACAGCACCTACTAGCTCTGGGACAATCGAGACCCAAGTAGCAGAGAATATCAACAAAACTATCAATTCAAGTTGTACAACTTGTGAATACTCTGTTACATCTAACACATCTAACACTTCCGTATCTAGGAAAAAGAAGAGTGCAACAGGTAAACTGCATACACTTTTACTTAATGCATCTGCAATATAGCAGTAATTCTGCAATATAGGGCAAGTAAAATAGAGTTCACTTGTTTCTGTGATCTCGGCATATGAAGAGATAGTGTGGTCATCCCTATGCCCAGACGCCTTTACTTACCCTAACATGAGTTAGGTACCCATCAGAGTATGGTGGACTCAGGGATGGCCTACTGACTTGAACCCGGATTACGGGTTAGCAGTCCAGCTCTCTACCGCTAGACCACTCCGTCCCTTATACAGTTCTTAGAATTCATGAAATTTTTAAAAATGTGCACAATCAATATGTCTCTGTTAAACAGAAAGATGTAATCCGGCATAAACAGTTAGGAAAAACTCTGAGGCAACGGAACTAGGATTTCTGAATGTTAAGCAAAGATCAAAGTTAAAAAAGATATTATTGTTGGATTTCAGCTTCAACATGCTCCTACCATTTTTTTCCTACTACAGTAGATTGTTATTAACAGTATTAGTGTCCTACCATAGTACACTGTCCATGTACTATCACAATAGAAATGTATGTTTTTATGATGTTGTACATTTACAAAAATTTTTAGCAGTTGTGGGGGGGGGGGGGGAATAATCCAGGGGAGTAGTTGACAGGGGATAATGTCCAGCTTACATTTCATTTATCTTTTCTTAGTTATCGATTCTACAAAATATACCTAGATTAAACTTAATCATGATATGACTTTTTTCTACAGTAAATTTAACTATCAACTACATTATGTATGTCAGATCCCCTTTAATAGATTCAACAACAGCTACAGGTTAGTTGCAACATTAAATTGTGGATAGTTATCTTTGTTCTTGATAGCAATGTTTTGTTAACTGATGGTCACAATTAAAAAAACTTTAGTGGCATACCTTTTCTTGTTTTTGCCGGTGTTTTATAAATTTCATTTTCACAAATATTTGTTATACTATTACCAAACATAAAAAAATTAGGACTTGATGTGTAACTAGCTATTCATATAACAAACATTTTTTAAATGAAATCTTAATAAAAGAGTTAGAAAATTTCTAAATTAAAAGCCAAAATATTTATAATAAGTATTTTGTTTCAAATTCCTTATGGTTAAAACAAATCATTGCTTCCAATATTTTTTGCAATTTTTAAAAAATCTAATTTATAATTAAATATTTTATTATGGACTTAATAGAAATATCATGTATAAGTTTATAGAACAGGCTAATTATTATTTATCTCATGTTTATTGATATTCTCAAATTTGTTTTTCATATGTATATTTGCATTGCATTGCAAATGTACTACCACTATTTACTCTAACAACTGCTTTACATATATTTAAATACTTTTACAATCCAACACAGATGAACAAACAGAGTTGGTAAGACAGAAACTTCTTGAATTTGAGCAAGTTGCCCAGATGATCTACAATAACTCCGCTGACATCTTCACTGTCACAGTAAATGGCATTAAATATAAAGGAAATGTAAGCAGTACAGTTTCTGTGTCGGAGAAATGCCCAGTGGGCACTACCTTGCTCCGTGCTGTGTGTGGTTAGTGATTTTACAACCTTTGATAAATAACTTACATGTTAAAGTTCTTTTTATCTGGACCGAAAGTAAGATGCCTTTATATATATATATATATATATATATATATATATATATATATATATATATATATATATATATATATATATATATATATATATATATATATATATATATATATACATACAAATATACTTTCCATATTTTTATTGGATCCTAATGTTATATTCCTCATTATCAGCTAACTGTTTGCTTTGATTGTATAATGATTTGTACTATGAGCAACAAGACTGCCATGTTACATACAATAAACAATTGAATAGTGAATGTTTGATGCAACAAAGCTTAGAGTAATTGCAATTGTTGTTTTCTCACAGCATACTGTGTCCCAGGAACGTACTGGAAAAATGAAATATGTCTGTTGTGTCCTGTTGGGACATACCAGGAGCAGGCTGGGATGACCTACTGTGACCCTTGCCCTCAGGGTAGAACTGGTTATTTTTTTTATTAAATATTGCTAATTAGAAATAATCAATCAAAACGATCTGCGGTAACTGTAGCAGAGATATCAATTTTAAAAAATTGGCATGATGATAAACAGCAGTGCCCGCTCTGGAGAAAAATAATATCTCTACATCTGGGCACAATCCTTGTCCCATGTGGCACAAAAACTATATATATATATATATATATATATACATATATATATATATATATATATATATATATATATATATATATATATATATATATATATATATATATATATATATATATATATATATATATACATATATATATATATATACATATATATATATATATACATATATATATATATATATACATATATACATATATATATATATATATATATATATATATATATATACATATATATATATATATATATATATATATATATATATATATATAAATATATATATATATATATATATATAAATATATATATATATATAATATGTATATATATATATACATATATACATATATACATATATACATATATATATATATATATATATATATATATATATATATATATATATATATATATAGTAATGTAAATATGTTGTGAATATTTTAAAGCTTTAAGTTAGTTTTAAGAGAGTATGAAGTGTAGTATAATGACTGTGGCAAGTTGATACTTTAATAATCTTCGTCCATTTTGAAATTTGTATATGGTCAGGGACATCAACTGCTGGTCTGGGATCCCAGTCTATCACTCACTGCATAGAGGACCCATCCATCTACTATGATTGTTCCTTAGGCTACTGGTCTGATGATGACAATGGACCTTGCAATCAGAAACAGGATTCTCAAAATGCTGCTCCTGAGAACTTGGGTCAGTAGTTTGGTTCAAATTGTAATCTTTGGGGTATGTTACTTCCTGAATAAAATTAGGTAGATCAAACGTTTTGAAAATTATTTAATCAAAAACAAACATTTATCATACACATTTTGTTTTTATACTTTTATTGATAATTAATGCTATTTTGTTTAAACATTCATAGGAGAACAGAAACACCTATTTCTGTGAATAACATTATATTTTTGTGTATCTTTAGGTTTAATTATTGGTGCAACACTTGGTGCAGTAGCACTAATTGCAGTACTGTTCCTGGCTTTTAAATTCCGTAAAGCAATTTGGAGGTAGGCTTATAAAACATTTTTTAAACTAATAATATAAATTAAAAAATGCTTATATTTGGACTAAGTAGGTAGCTGCATAGGCATCACTAAGCAGGGGGTGCGTACCGCACTGGGTGACACCGTATGGGGGGGGGGGGGGGTGACATCAAGACAAAAGTTTGCAAAATATGTAGAGGAAACATAATTTTTGACAGTTCAATGAATGATTAATCAGTGTTAAAAAGTATGTGACACCACATCAAATAATTTACTTAAAAAAACATACCTTTTTTCCACTTGAAATATAGTTAGATTCAAATAATGTGTGCACAAATTTACACAAAATGTATATATATATATATATATATATATATGTATATATATATATATGTGTATATATGTGTATATATATATATATATATATATATATATATATATATATATATATATATATATATATATATATATATATATCCTATAGTTTTTTCCTTTTGTTCAAGGGTGGGGGGGGGTGACACAATCAGGTGCCACACCGGGTGACACCCCCACCTAGCGACGCCACGGGGTAGTAGTTGAGAATAAGTTCAAATGATTGTGCATAATTGCTAGAAAACCATACTAATATAAATATAGTATTTCAGCACATTCATTTTTCTTATTGGAAAGATTTTAAGGCTTTTTTTTTAAAACAAATATTTTCAGCCGATTTCAAACCCAGGTCATTCCCAGCAAGCCTCCGCCATACTCATATCTAGACCCACACTCCAAAGATGCCTACTTTCACAAAAGATCATCAGTGGAAATAATTCTTGATGAGCTTCCAAAGCCTTCAATATAACAAGGCAAAATTGTAACTGACATCTGAGAATCATCAGAAATTCTTTTCACAAAAAGTCATAGAATTCATCTTAAATTAAATTATTGCATCTGGGCTCTTAACAATATGATTACTACATTTTTAAAATATAGAGAAATTTAAAGAAATTTTATTGTTTTGAAACTCGGGAACATATTTTCTGTCAGTCTTTTAGATTAAACATAAAATACTGTGTTTAAAATTATAAAAATACTTTGTATGAATAATTAAAAAATTATATGTGTGATTGTGTTTAATTGTGTGCATTCATTAACCTAATGAATTTATCTTAATATTAGCAAAGTTAGGTGTATAGTATATTTCAAATAAATTTATTTCATTCTGTTTAACATTGCTAAAATCTTGCAAACAAAATTTTACCCACATTTAGCAAACTCAATTGTTTAAAAATTTTTGGTGATACGGCATATTTTACAAGAAGTTTGATATAATTAGATATATATTTACTTTTTAAAAAGGATTGGAAAACTTTATGTCCTGATAACATTTACACATTATTATATTCATTTATTTTTCAAACTTTCTGTTGTGTGAATTTTTTAATACAAACATTATTATTCTGTACTGTATATATATATATATATATATATATATATATATATATATATGTATATATATATATATATATATATATATATATATATATATATATTCTAGCTGCATACCCGTGCTTCGCCACGGTAAATCTTTTTTATATGTACCAACTTGGAAACAGAACAAAACTAAACATAACACAAACACAACACAACACAAACACAAAAGAAAATACAAACACAAAAAAAACAACATAAACAATAAAGAAAACACAAAACACACAACAAACACAACACAATGCAAACACAAACGAAAACAAAAAAAGCAACAAACACAATAGAAAAAACAAACGCAACACAAAAACAAAAGAAAACACAAATACAACACAAACACAAAAGAAAACACAAATACAATGCAAAAATAAACGAAAACACAAACACAACTCACAAACACAACAGAAAAAACTAATGCAAAAAAAAACAACACAAATGAAAATAAACACAATGCAAACACAGATGCAAACGCAAAAAAAAACAACGAAAAAAACAAACACAACACTCATAACATAAACACAACTTAAATGCAAACATAATTGCATAGTGCTCACAGTCTAGCTCTCATCTTGTCCGCAAACTGAAAGATAGAATAATAATTAGTAAACAGTACGTTGGGTATATAAAATAAATAAAAGACAGTATTTAAAATATCCGTGTTTAACCTACCATATTGCACTTTATCAATTCATGCAATTTTTTTCAGTACTTTAAATTTTCAAAAATTACAATAGAGTGTGTATCATATAATAGTGCGGAATAGTTGATTAAAATTTTTAATTAAGCTTTTATTAATCCAAGCTAATTATGATATTCCAACAATAATGCCTCTTACATGTCTGCAGAATTTGCATTCATATTTTGCTAATTATATTATTCCAACAATAATTCCCTCTTGGAGATTTTGCATTCACATTTTTTAATTAGCGTGAGTTGAATTTATTTTTAAATTACATCGCTTGGCAAGTAAAAAGCACGACATGTGATGTGTTTACTTTTAATTTATGGTTCCAAAACTATAGCGATAACGGAATGACGGTGTTACTGACACACTACCTAGCCGCTAATATTATAGATTTTTATATATATATATATATATATATATATATATATATATATTTATTTATTTATATAATTATAATATAGTAAAAAGCTGTTTACAATGCTAAAAAGGGTAACTAGATAACCCTACAAGTAAAAAAAAATTGAAAGGTCAATTTTCTTATAGAAATATAGTATCAGTAGCCTACTGAATTGCAGATTTATTTGGACCTATAAACATTAAACCTATAAACACCATATAGAGACTCACACTTTTAATTATAGTTTTTAATAAACTGAATTGTGGTTGGCTTGCAATATAATATCAAAACAGAATATAAACCAAAGTGGTGATAACTATTTTGTATCTATCTTCTATATATCTTAAGCAGTTAAAATTAAAAAAAAAAAATGTAACATTTTTTTTGTCTGAAAACAACTTTCTGTTATCTATTTATACGTTTACTTATACTTTTTTGATGCAGCCCTGTCTAATAATGTTGAACTTCAAAATATAATTTTAGAAACCTATTGCAAAAGCATGTGCTGTGCCTAAGTGGGCCTTTTTAAATAATTACTTTAAAACACACTATAACTAATTATTGTATGGCTTTATGATTAATAAGGATCCAAATAATTTTTCATTAGATACAAAATAAAGTTTTTAAAAATATGTGCTGCATTTATTACTTGTTAGTTCTCATCAAACATCTAAAAGACTAACCAAGTCTTTATATGATGAATATATAGGCCCATATACATATACATCAATATATAAATATATAAATATATATATATATATATATATATATATATATATATATATATATATATATATATATATAAGTGTGTGTGTGTGCCTCTATATATGTATATACACGTGGGGAGGCGTCTAAACAGCATCAACGTCGATGGTAAAACAGTTCTCCCACATAATTCTTCTAGACAGACTGGTTGTAGATCAATCCTTATGTGCAATCGATGCACGTTATTACCTCTGCATGGCGTCTGATCCCAACCTAAGAACATAAGCCCTGTTTGTCCCCAGTCTCCCAACTCAAACACATCTCTATGTTTGATCACCCATACAGTGAATTTTCACGGTGTTAATACTTTCAAAGATTTACAGTTCAGTTAAGCTTAACTTGATTCAACTTAACTCTGCTCAGTTCAACTCTATTCAGTTTGTCTCATAAACATTTGCAATTAAAGCAAAACGTTTCAACAAACATCTAGTTTTTAGCGCTTTTAATAATTCACATTCACATGTAGTCAAACAAATAGTATCATATTACAAATAATCACACGATAAGCGACATGTAAATTAAATTATTGAATAAATCACTTGTTTGCGAGGCGCTTGATCGGCAAGTAGAGCTTATATTTGCTTACTTCAGTAGTTTTGAGTTCGATCTTTGGGCAGTAACCCATCTAAGAGAGAAAACTAGAAAATCAAACAACTGTTACTGAACGAATAATTGCATTATATTCATAAACGATTCTTCGTTAGAATTTTTTGGATTAACGGTTATAAAAATTACTTAACAGTATCGTTTCTGAATGTGATTGTTTATTACACATAATTTACATACTAGTAATTATTTGGTTATTTGGTGCTAAGATGTTAAAAACTACTGCTTTAAATTTTATGGGAACAGGGCATTACCCCCCCCCCCCCCCCCCCCCGTCAATTACCCCGGACATTAGTGGGAGTTAGTCAGGATTCCGAGCTTGGGGGAGAGGGGGTGGAGGAAATTGCTCCGTGGGGTAATGTCGAGGTAATTGACGGGTGGGGGGGGGGGGGGTTGAAAATGTAATTTTATACAGAAAAATATATTTAAATAACAGATCTGCATTAACGAATTGCCTGAGTCTCTTTTCACTGTTTTCTAAAAATACATTCCTGGAATTTAATTGGACCAACAGCACCCATCACGACACAACAAACACAACATACATCGATTACTTTTATTAGAAAACAACATCCACATCTTCAATAACATAAGCCGAAGCAACACTTTATGTTAATCTTTATGAGACACGATCTCCAATCTCTAAATATTATACAGCTGATCTCATCTATGCAACACGATGTATCGTAAATGACATAAATGTTTTAAAAATCAGATGATATGTTAAGTTTTAAGTACACTTTTTTAGAAGGGTTTAGTAATATAAATCACATATAATAATAGTTTCGCTATTCTGTCTGTCTGTCTTTCTGCTATAACCAAACTACTAACCACGTACTATTACCAGACCACTGACCTTATGCTATAGCCAGACCACTGACCACATAACCAGACCACTGACCACATAACCAGACCACTGACCACATACCATAACCAGACCACTGACCACAAGTAAACAAAGTCAGCTATCGAAGTCAGCCAATTAAATCGACAAAGTCTACAACGTACCAAGTATGGCCATCACTCTATTTTTTGAGTTGGAAAGTTCAACGCTCTAAATATATTTTGAACAGTAGATCTACTATTTGATTTGGCCTAAGGCAAAACTTGTACCAAATTCCCTTGATCCAATGGTGCGATAAACTTGCCAATGCCTATTTTAGTTTCCAAAAATAAAGCAATCTTTGAAAGTACAAATGTGCAGAGAATTTTATTGTTAAAACATGTCCACGGATTACAGAAATACTAAAGAATTTTTTAAACTGAATACTATTAAAGCGAAAGTATAATCTTATATTGGTAATTCCACGGCAATCGGTTATAGAAATATTCTTATTTAAAAAAAAAGTTGTTTAGTACTTAATAAACCGGGAGTGATCTCCCTTAAACTTTCTCGAATATTCTTATATAACACTACGGGGATGGCAACTCGGGGTATAGACATGATTTTAAATTCATTTTTAATTACTTAAACTTTTAAAAATAGAATAGAATCTCATAGACAGGGGCGGAACTACAGTGCCGCCAGACCCCCGCAATGCGGGGGGGGGGGGGGCCAGGCCGATTGGGGGCCCAAAAATCCTGGCTAAATTATAATTTATTTTTTTGAAATTTAAATAAAAAAAATTAGGTGGATGTCGAGTTATCTTTCTTCTACAGTTACAAACAAACACGATAGTCGGCAAACGTCTTTGAGAAAAATGCACAGACTATAGCTCGAGAGACCGCCAGACATGTAGACAACTTCAAAGACGCAGCCTACCGTTCTTTTTTAGTGGCGTCGATTAGGAGAACAAAAAAGCTTTGAAAATCGGGCTGGGGAAATGTTGCGGCGACTATCCTGGTCTTCTAGACCACCGGAAAAAGTCGGCGCTATTGATGTAGATGTTCATCGGCGCTTTCTTGTCCCCTTCCCTTGAACCTTCCCAACTCTCTACCCTCCCCCCCCCATCCCCCTAACCTCTACCCCTCACCACACCCTTACTCTTACAATAAGATGTAATGCATAGATTAACGAACCGTGTATGAACTACTGAACTGTAAACTGACCACTTCTGCACATTTTGTTAAAGACACTAGTCAGTAGTTGTTCATTTACCTGATGAAGTATTTCGTTGACGAATCTAATTCACACAACAAGGAAGGTAAGACTCGTCTTTATATTATTAATCGTTTTATAATTAGTACACGTATTAATACAGGGGCGGAACTACAGTGCGGCCAGACCCCGCAATGCGGGTGGGGGGCAGGGGGGGGGGGGCAGGCCGTTTAGGGGCCCACTGCTGACCATAATTAGTATTTTTTAAAATTTTGAATTTAATTTTCGTGCATTTTTGCCTTGATATTTAGTTTGTAAAAGAAAAAACTGTAGCTGCGGTACGATTATCTTTATTTTACAGTCACTATACCACGCTCTTCAGCAAAAAAATAAAATCCATTACACAAAATACAGTGTAAAATATAGGCAACGCTTCAAATTTGAATGACACATTTGACTCGTTGCCCCCCTTTGATAGCTAAATATAGGACACGTAACAGTTTGACCGATCCTCCAAAGTGTACTGTGGCGGAAGGGG